TTTAATGATAAAAATTTTAGTCATTATTAAAGCACAAGCAATGAATTAACAGAAAATTTTGAAATAAAAACATAGTAGAACGTCATTAAAGACCGAAGAAATTGCTTTGAATGTTCACAGTAGATTAGCTAGAGGGAAGAACTATGAAAATTTAATTTATTTTCCATTTATGAAGTGTGTCTATACTATATTACAGAGAATGGGGCAATCAAGTAGCTTTCTAAGATGTCATCTATGATTTTGCAAGCAAACAGATTTTGCAAACAAATAGCATGATTTTTTTTAAAAAGTAAAAATTGAAATTTTTCTTCAAAAATAAGCACAGATTTTAAAATTTATTTCCCTACAAGTTATTTTGATATATTTTTACTCATTGTACATCTAGAGGGATGGCAAGTTCAGCGACTTGTACCTCACATGGCAAAATCAGACTGTTTCTTGACTACAAAAGCTTTATCTACACCATCGAATTTTCATTTTTGGAAATTGGATGTTGGGGGTCAACGAGCATTTTACTTGAAACTAAAACAAAATGTGAATATCGTCAAATTATCTTTAAATGCGCCAAGGTGGCAAGCTCAAGAAGTAAATCTTCAAGACACCCTTACGAAAAATGGTCAGGGCTCATTTCTACGGCAACAGACAGCTGCAGATAAACTGGCAAGAGCTGTTCTTACCATAGACAGACAGTATATACATCTTACCTCTGTTAAAAAAATCGCTATTGCAAGCGACACATCTCCAGAAATTCAAAAGCAATGCCGGCTAGGAAAGAAAGAATAAGTGTTGGTCTGATACCAGGATTTCATTATGTTCTTTATATATATATATATATATATTTTTTGAAGGAACTATATAATTAAATAATATTTTACATTATTTTCTTACTTTTAATGGCTTTAGTGTTCCCTGTTTGGGTTTGGTTTTGGCTTTCATTTGTCTTCATAAATTTAATGTTTCATTTACTGCATGTTGCTAGTTAAGTATGTGCAAATATTACCATCTCTAGCTAAAAGTACATATGGTTCTTAAAAAGTCCTTAAAAGTCCTTAGGTTTTTTGGAATCGATTCTTGTCCTTAAAAGTCTTTAATTTCAGCCAAAATCGGCAGAAGGTCCTTAATTTTAATCATCTGAAATTTCTGCCTGTTTTTACAACTGCCATTTTGAGTGTGAATTAGCATTTTAGAGGAATATTTTTTGGCAATTCACTGACATATATGTTTATCTTTTCAATGGGTGAATGTGTTCATGCGTTATAATTCATTCCTATTTCTAATAGAAATGATGGGATACTCTAAGCAAGAAGTGAAGCATTTCGAAATTATTTCATTTTCTTTCTAATGAAGAGCTCTTAAACAACTTTTTGCTTTTGAAGATGTGAATTCCTTTATAAAATGGTTCTAAATTTGGCGTCATATCAACATTTTCACGATTTTAAGATAAGTTTCTATAGAAAACTTTTAATTCCAAGATCTGGGAATTTTTTGAAAATTTTTTTAAAACATTGTAACATTGATAAATTTTATTAAAATAATTCTAATATATTAAAAATTTATTTAAAAAATAACATCATTTCTATTTTTCGCTGTCATATTATAAAGTTTTGTTTTGGCAACTTATTATACAGCATTTTGAATCTGAAAAATAAACAAGATATAATGCTCTAAGGCACAACTTATGAAACAGTTCTTAGCAAAAACAAAATTAGTTATAATTAATTAAAATTGTCTTTTTTTTTTTGAAAAAAAATTTTTCATGCTGAGAGTTTTTCCCATGTAATGTCTCAGAATATTCAGAATTTTCAGAATATGCAGCAGTTTTCTGTATAAATTTAATTTTACACTTTTTCCCTCCTCTTTTTATTATTATTATTATTATTATTATTACCCCAAAAAACTTTCTGGCTTTTTTGCTGTTACAGAACTGAAAGGGATAATTTTAGAAGTTGCAGCTTGGAAAGTTTAGTAGGTTTTCAAGCCAAGATTTATAGACTCGCGATTCTAGAAGAATCCAGAAAAATGTGACAAGATGAAAAATGTCTCCATGGTATTAACACATAGTAGATGTATTTTACAGAAAGTTTGCAATGAATTTCTTACTTTTTGAAGAATGTGTCAAAGAACAATGAAAGCTGAATGTTTTACTTCTGACACTAGAACCTTTTTCTTAACATGTTTATCTTCTCTTTATTTTCTCTACTTTTCACTGGACACAAGCATGGAAAATATCAAAAATGCTTTTAATCTTATCACATGGACAGGCATAATAGAAAAGAATTTTTTTATTAATAAAGAAATTGGAAACTGACAATTTAAAAGATTCTTTTAATATGTCTTAATGCATCATACACTAGCACTAGGTATTTTCTCATCTGATGCAATCTCTGAGAGTCCTGAATTCTGCTCCTTAGTGTCTTACTAAATTCTGCTTCCAATGCCTGCTCTAAATTCTAAAAGTTTTGCCATTTCTAGATTTTGTTGTTCGGTGTGTCACTAAATTCTAAAAATTCTGCCACACCAGCTCTGTAACCTCCCTTTGTATATTTCATATTTCTTCTGAATGTTCATATTACTAAAGAAATAAAATTAACAGCTTTTTCTATACATTCTAAATGCATTTAGTTTTTTTAGGATAACAGAAAGCCTTAATTAAATCCAAAAATTATAAAATGAATAGGAAACGTGTTGAAGAAAGAAACTGAATACATAAGGAAAATTATTATTCAAAGATATATATACAGTTATTATTATGTAAATTATCTAGTTGTGTATAATTTCAGCCATTACTGTAATTTCCTATTTCTGTTTCCTCATGTGATAGAGTTACTGAGCCAGCTTAAATTAAAATTAAATTTTATAGTCTTTGACCACTAGTCCACATTTTTAGTTTGAATTTTACTGTTCTTGTTTAATTATATCACCATAAGCTGTAATTGATTTTGTTAGCATGAGAACATGCCTTTATGCTTCAAGTTCTTTTTAAATTAAGAGGCTTATTTAAACCTTTGTCTAACTTTGGAATTACCTTCAGACATAGCAATAATTTACTTCATGTCTGTTCGGGGGGGGGGGGTTGGACCATTTGACTTTACCAGATCAAGTAAATCCTCATAGGTACATTGTGGAGAGGTTGACAAGTTAGGAGATAAAGCATGCTAGTGATAAGATTGGTTTTCATATAGAGACAAATTTCTGATTTTTAGAAAAGATGCTTAAAGAGAAGGAAATCGATATAAATTAGCCAAAATGTCAAGAAAGGCTTCATATTAAAAAAGATGCATAAATATTTTGTCGAGTGTTGTTGCTACAAAACTCAAATATTTTGTGGATTATAGTATTATGTGTAATTATCCTAATATCATTTAAGAATCATTGTTATAAATCACATGTATTTTAAAGTGTGAAATTTTAATAGGGCTTTTTTAACAAACATTGTTAAAAGATAAATAAAATTTACTAGTGGCCATGTAAATCCATAATGACTAAGGTTATCTAACTGCCTAATATAATTATTTATAACTAACTGCTTAACTCTTAAAAATTATCTCTGCATATTAAAGTGAGTTATTGCCTTTCATTATTCCTTATCGTGGTCACATGATAAAGCACAAAAATGTAAAACTTATTCTTTGCATCTAGTGAGACTTAAAATAATACAAAACAACTTACCACCTCTGGTGCTTTATTGGCTTATTGGAACCTTAGTGTATATTAAATGGGTTAGAACCCTTGGAACTCTACATGAAGCTATGGCACTAACTGTGTCAGACAGAGCCTAACTAACTTTCAAAACTTGCCAACTGGGTCTACATCAGGCCTTTCAGGTTTGTTCTAATCAGCAGGTTTCTCTCTAGAGAAGCAGCAGAGGGACAACATTCTGTCTTTTGTTATGAATCATGCTTATTATGATCTTACTTCTCATTTTAACCTTTGCCATTTGATATAAAATCTCCCTGCTATTTACTAAACCTCTAGACTGAGCAAGTTTATGAAAAAATGAGACATAAAAGAAAAATCAACATAAAGCTGACTGTTAGTGAAACGTAAATAAAATGTCACTTATCTTCTTTCAAATATGTCCAACTATAATAAATGTAAAAAATTTAATTCTACTTAAAATTTCAGAAAGTTTATTTTATTCTCAAACTTATTAACAATTATGTTAATTAATTCATGTTTAATAATAATGCATCCTACTTACGGATCTATTTTATTTTTAGGATGGTATTACAAAAGTGAAGTTCAGGCATAAATAATATTTTTAATTGAATTTATTCAGTTCCCGTTTGCTCATAGGTCCTTAATTTTTTTCATTATTGGTCCATAAAAATACTTAATTTCCATGTGCAAAAATGTGTACGAACCCTGATTTAAGAATTTCCATAACTTTAATTACGTAAAATTATTTTTTTAGTATCTGCAGCCATTACCATCTTTTATATTTGATGATCTTTATATATGAATAATATATAATATATATCTTTATATATGAATATATTTAAGAATGCACCTATCTGGAATTATGTAAATTAATTTTTTTAAATACTTGTCTTAAATTGGAAAAAAATAATGTCTTGCATTATGAGATTATTGCCAATTGCATTAAATTAAAATTACCATAAATGTGTTTTCACATGAACCTTATTTTCATACAATTGTTGGTACTAACAGTAGGTTTTTTTTTTTTTTTTTTTTTTTTTTTTCTTTTGCCTTCTCTTCCTTTCCCAAACATTTATATTTTTCTCTAGAAGCTGTTATATGTGATGTTTTTAGTTAATTAAATTAAAGACATTATTTTTATAAGGAAATATTGCAGAAGATTGATTAATTAAATGTATATTAATCAGGTCTAAAATCTTTTAGATGTAATACTATTATGTAAAAATATAATTTTCTAACTTTTCTTGGTTTCTGGAATTTTGATTTTTTTTAGTAAATTGATTTTAATGTATTAAATTACTAACAGACTAGATAAAAATTATGCAAAATTTTATGTTTAGGCTCTTCAGGAGTTAAAAAAAGAATGTGCTCAAGTACTTAAATTGTTTGATAAAACTGTCAGCCTTTGTCAAAATGTAAGTAATGCATTTGTTTTTCATCTTTTATAAAAGTAATTTTAAATTAAATGTACATTTTTAAATTGTCTTTTAATAAAGGGAAAAATTTTCAGTTTTTTAAAAATATTTTTTGGTATATTAAATATCAGTTATATTTAAATAATTATTTTATTAAGATTTTAAAAAAATTCATCCCTAAAAGCTAGTGCATTTCGATTATTATAAATCTTCATCAAACGTGAAAATTGACTGAGATCTCAGCAATCATTTCAGTAAAAGTTTAAACAGACAGATCATTCTTTAGTAAGATAAACAAAGATAATAAAGAGATATAAATTATATCTCTTTGTATATAGCATATAAAAAACTTTAATTGCTTGTCAGAGTTTTTCACGTTATATTTGCCATCATTATTTATCCATTTTCAAAGTTGCATGTTTTAGCGTCTTTTTTTTGGGGGGGGGGCATGTCCTTTGAAAAAACTCCACTTCATGTTGTCCTAGATATTAATAATGTTTTTCAAAATGTGAGAAAATAATAGAATTTATATCTTTCCTTTCAAAAATTAAATCGGTTTATTGAGAATTAGTCAAGTTTACGTTAAACTAAAATGGACTTCTTGTGATGTCATGTTTTATTAGTGCTAAATCCCATTGTTTGTTTAGCAACAACAATATAATAATATATCAGGCTCTATAATGACCATTGTAAATCACCTATTTACTGTGATTTATTTATTTCGGGGAAAATGTTTTTTTTTTTTTCCTAAAATTCTTAAATATTCTAGTTACTGGAGCCTTCTGATTAGTTGAATGCTGGGTAATTGGGCTTTTGCTGTATTTGATTTCTAAAAGTAGTTTTTTTTTTTCTTTTTCTTTTAAATTAGAAAGTATAGCTTTGCTTCAGAAGCAGTAGAACATATTGTTTTTTAAAGTTAACCTTTTGAGTTCAGCCTCTGACAAGATTTTTAATGTCATTTAATTATATATCACTAGACTAGGAAAAGTTTATTTATTATGAAACTGTTTGCTGTAAAAATAAATTATAAAATTAGAAATCTGAAATAGTTTTTTTATGAAATAATGAAGCATTTATGATTTTAGGGAATCAAAATTTATATAAAAAAAGAAGCTCAATATTTATTTTAAAAATTTCTTTCAATGTATGTTGTTTAAGTTGCTTTATTTTTTATACGAATACTTTCTCTACTATTCTGTAAACATACATAATTTCTTGTTCACTTGCAAAGTCCCACTGTTTAAGTCCTGTATTGCCATGTTAAAAATTCTCATTAAATTGCCAATCAAAATGTTTTGTTCTCAACAACTTGTTGCTCTTCACTAGTGTTAGTGAAATTTTCTGTTGTTTCTATTATGTTGCTTCCTATCCCATGCTGAGGAAACAATGCCTGAATTATATTAGTCTTGTTATTTATTATACTTACATCTATTTCCTGCTTATGCTTGGGGCTGATGGGAGTCCTGATGAAATAAATTCCCACATATATTTAAGATTGTAGTTTTCCATTATGCATCTGCCATACATTTTGGCAGGTTTTTTTTTAATCGAAAAAGGTTTCTAGTACTATAAGATTAATTTATAGACCACAAGCAGAAGCATGCATGCACATGCATACACGTACACACACACACACACACACAGACCTCATGCAAGGTATAAAATCATCGATAAACTTGAATAATATGTTTTAGTTTGTGATTTATGCTGAGAGCTAAGCTGGCTACAGAGCCAAATTATTGATCGTACGGTTTTATGCTAATGCATTATTGTGTCTCTTCAACATGAAGGTATTTTATTTAGTGCCAAATTAAAATTAAGAATCAGGATCCTCCCCAAGCCTTATTAATCTAATTGTTTCTCCTAAAAACTTCAAATAAAAAAAAGGAATTGCTGGTGATATGAAGGTCCAGATTTCAGACTTTGTTCTGTATTCATGATTTTGTATCTTTATTTATAAAATGTATATTAATATTAATGGAACATTTTTATTTTAAACTGATCCTATCATAATTGAAGAAGCAATGCAAAATAGATTGCATTTTATAAAAGATAAGCTTTTAAGAAAAGTTTGATTTATTTTTTAAGATGAGGTTTTATTATCATTTATGTCTCATAAAAATAGTTAAAAAATCCTTATTAAATATTTCTCTATGGTGCAAATTATTTCTTTATTTTTAGTACTTTAACCTGGAGTTTAATGAGTGTAGGAAACGAACTGAAAAACAAAAGCTGCTACAAAAGCCTATGCTTAGTCAAGTAGAAAAATTTATTTCAGATGTTGAAGAAACAGGTGATCTAGAACTGCGTTCACTTAGAGTAAGAACTGTAAATTGCTCTGTAAAAATAATTTCACTATTTGTACACTGATATATGTAAGCAATATAATGCAGATTTTGGATTTTAACTTGAATTTTTATAAATGTGCAACTAGATAGCTTTTTATAAAACTCGTACATTATCCTGAAAATATTAAGTTTTTATAAAATACGCAGACTATTCTATTAGTCAGAGCAAGAATGACAATCTTGCAAACCGCATGGGGCCCACCCTGTAAAATTTTGCAGCCCATGGCAGAATTAACAAAGCTTTTTTTTTTTTAAATGAAATTCACAAAAATCATGAGTATCCTTAACTGATGAAAACCTACAGGATCAGTTATCATATGCAAATGAAACCACCGAGATCAGCTTAAAAAAACTAAGTAAAAGAAAACAGGAACAAGTATTGCACTGATTACAGTAAATACACTGCTAGCCATTAAAATTGCAACACCAGGAATGAATAATCTGGCGAATGTCAAAATCACGTGAAAGGAAGAAGAGGTTGGGATATGCAAATGATTAGTATTTCAGCGCATTTAAACGATACAGGATGGAAAAACGATATCCGAAGCACTGTATAAAAGAAAAGTTGTGTAGTGGATTTCTCATTCAGAAGGCGCTTTGTAAGATCGGGGTTTTCTCAGAATATCGTGTTATGCCTCGAATAATAATAAGAAATGCTTACCAGCAAGGGTCGAATTTGATAGAGACAGGATTATTCTCTGTTGAGAGTGTAGATTATAATTCTGTGATATCACCCATCACACTGGTCGACATCCAACCACTGTAATGCAAATATAAAAGCAATGGGTTGCTGAGGGTCATACTGAATGGCATGCAGAATCTCAACACCTTCCTATGACTAATGCCCAAGAAGACAGACGTAATTTGAGGTAAGCCCTGCAAAACTGTACAACCTCATCATGGACCATTAGTCAGGAAATGGAAAATGTTTGCAGCATGCCCAGTATCCGCCCCTATGGTGCATCAATGTCTGCAGCAGTATAGAGTATCATCACAGCGACCATTACTTTGTCTTCCCTTGACAATGGAAACAGACGGTAACTCTGGTGCCCCGAATGACAAAGCTGGATACAAGAGTGGCACAATCTCATGTTTTCAGATGAGTCCCAGCTCTGTGTGCAGTATACTTGGCTATTGATAATACGTATCTGGAGGCTTCGAGGAGACCACATGGTCGCCTGCTTACATTCGATATCAGCATAGAGGCTCTGCACCTGGGTTGACAGTTTGGGCAGCCATTGGGGGCATGACATTTCTGGTTTAGATCGATGGTAATTTGAATGCAGATCGGTATATTTCTGACGTCTTACGTCCAGTGGTTGTGTATATCGAGACCTGCCGAACACCATCTCTCAACAAGATAATGCAAGACCGCATGTTGCACATTGTGTTCTGACCTTCCTTGATACACAGGATATTTGATTGCAGCCCTGGCCTAGATGGTCTTCAGATCTGTCACCTACTGAAAACATCTGGTCATGGGTTGCTGAGAAACTGGCCTGCAACCCCTCTCCAGCTAATACGGTTGATGAAGTGTGGCATAGACTTGAAGCAGCATGGAATGAGTTGCCCATTTCGTCTCCATGCCTAGCTGATTAAGGGCTGTTGTAGCTGCCAGTGATGGCAGCTCTTACTACTAATTCCCCCTCGTAAACCCTCAAACTTCTTACAAATTTAATAATTTTGTCTTCATGCTATACTGTTTATGTACTATAAATATCTTTTTTACATTTGCTTTCCTTCATGGTGTTGCAATTTTAATGTCCAGCAGTGTATAATATATGATTTTCTTATTTATTATTATTGTTTTAATTATTTATGTATAGTAATAAATGTTGAATAATAATAAAAACTATAATAATTATATTCTGTTTTGAATTTTTACCTAAAAAGTTTACATATGTATATTAAAATGATAGTTAAATACAATGTGGCCCATTGGAATAAAATACATTTCCGAAGTGGATTGGACAGGCTTGAGTTCGAAGATCATGGGAGAATCCACTTAATATAACCCTAGTAGTTGTTTCTTGGTATTGATTAATCTTTCAGAACAGGCTAATTGCAAATATTTTCTACAACTCTAACATAAATATGAGACACTCATTCTTAGATAATCTATATAAATACTCCTTCCATATTTCATAGCTGATAACAATATTATAAAAATTATATTATAAAGTTATTATAAGCAATATTATAAATATTATATTATAAGCAATATTATAAAGCTGTTGTTTTAGAATATTTTCCAAAATACTGTTATTTAAAACTGCTTGAAAATAATACTTTGTTATAACCAAAGAAAGAATATGTTAAAAGTTATCAGGGTTAGTTATAAAAAGATTTTTTTGTCAATTAAAATATTACAAAGCGAAATTTCTTTCTCAGTAGTTGGATAAGTTGAAAGTTTGGAAAATTTGACTTTTTTAAAAATATTTGTTTAATTTGATGTATTATGCTATGGAGAGAAAATCCTGAAATTTGACATCACAAAATGAACACCTGCTTAAATCAGCACTTTTTTGGGGGCGGATGACACTTAATATTGATAATTAAGAAAATCAAACAGCTGTCATTCTTAGAAGCAATATATTATTATAAACAATAAGAATAAAAATGCACATATTTGCAAGGCATTCAGTAGCATATAGTTGGGCTGAAAATCAAGCTCAATTCATAGCTGATTCTGAAAAGCTACTGAAAAAATTTAAGGTGTTACCAAATCACCAGAGTTAAAGCTTCTTTTTTATTGATGTTAGTCCATTAATTCATTCATGCTGAAGGACAAGCACTTACAAATACAAACGGGTAAACTTTCTGCTGTTCTTGCTACTAAAGTAATATACCTTTGCTATCATGCTGGTAATCTGTATAGCTGTTCCTTACTGACCATCCTGCATTCTTTGCTTTGCTATCATTTTAGCTGTTCTGCTGTTTAGAATTTTATTTTGTGGATTTAATTTTCTTGATATTTTCATATGTTTCATATATTTCTTGATAGTTTCATATGTATGTTATCATAATAATTAAAATTTATTTACAATTGATACGTCAGAGTTTCAAACGCATACTAATGTTGTTATAACAGATTTCATGCTAAGCTTTTTTTAAATTTAACTATAACATATTATATTCAGATATAAGTTAAAGCTCAAGCTAAAGTTTCGGTTAAAATCCTCTCTTGGGTACAAGTTTAGTGAAGGTGTTTTTTTTTCACTCCCCCCCCCTTCACTGATAAGTTAAGATTTTTATTCCAGCTATTTCTTCCGTTTGTCTTTTTATTCAATATAGGCTTCAGTGTTCATTAAAATTTAAGCTAATTTATTTGATGTTGGAAGAACTAATTGCATTCTTCCTTCAAAAAATGAGAATAAGCTTAAAGAGCTACATTCAGCTAAAAAAATTCTAGCTAACTTTGATAATGATGAACAGGATTTCATAAAGGAAAATGCTGATACACATTCCTTCCACCAACAAACATAATTCTGACTGAATTATTCCTGAACGCAAACGTTCTGCGAATTTTCAGATCACAAGTAATATCTGTGCTGCAAACAAATTTATTTGTATTAAATTCAAGACATATTGATGTTGATTCATCAGATGATGAAACTAAATCCCCTTAGAGAAGGGAAAATGTCGTAGTAAGAACATGGAAAAAAAAAAAAAAAAAAACCCACTAAAGTATAAATAATGCCGATAATAACAGTAATGTTGTAGTTTCAAATAATCTTGCTGAAGAAAATCTACAGCAGACCAAGCCTGTTGAAACTGAAATAATTCAAATTTCCTCTGAGAATCTTAAAAGCATGCCTTCTGCTTCTTCAGTGCCCGCTCAAAAATTCAAAGGTCAGCAACTCATCTGTCTTTTAAAATATTCTAGGTTTCTATGTATTACAGAGCAAAACACCGATTATTTATTTATGCAAATGCCGGAGATTTGGCCACTATGCCAATAGTATTGAACTTGCTTCCTAACACTTAAGAATAATAGAATTACAAGATAATAGTGCAGTACAATTGTCAGTATGCTCCTCATCCGTGGAGTGTCCAGAGTCACAAAGAGTACAGATTGATGAGTTCTCAAGTCGAATTTTAAAAAGATGGGTATTCAGACAATCGTGCCTAGTCAAAAGACGAGATAATGCCACAACTACAGGATGAGGAAAATCTGGAATAACATGCTTTGAACTAGTGAGACATTCCTAGGCCTATCTTCATTTGATAGGTAGGCGGCAAACCGCCTCTTAAATTCTAATTTAATTAGGAGTTTTGTAGAATTAAAAGTCATGTGGTTATTAGTGGTTTGGTAGAATAGTCGTTTTTTTTCTTTGACAAGAAGATGGCTCTTTCATTTTTCCTAGATGCCACAATGAGTAGGAATCCACTGCAAGACAATTGAGTCTGCCAGAGTGTTGAGAATCTTCATACATTCGTAAATTCATTTATATGTGCAAAATTTATTGTTGGTGATCGCCAGCAAAGTGGCTTTACTATCGGACAAAATAACAGCCTGAGGGAAATTACTCTTCCAAGCACCTAATTGATTCAGAGCAATAAATATAGTCTGCACTTCACCATCAAATTTGGTAGTATTTCTTCCCACTGCTTTATAGAATGCAAAATGGTAACGATAGATTCCTGCACAAGTTCCAGAACTTCACTCAATCATGGATCCATCAGTGTAAACATGGCTCCAGAGGTTATTTGGATATCTTCTCTCAATAGTTTTGTAGTGTTCCTCATTTTGCAAATGCTATATTACCGTTGATGTGAAGAATCCTGAGAACTAGTTAGCGAATAATCGCTTGAGTTCGTGTACAGGAAACAACAAGTATGAAGGGTTAACTATCCCTTTATTATTTCAACTAAGGTTTAACAAACTCTGTCTTGGAGAAATACAGTAAAGCCGCCACTTGGGCTTGAACTTATGAGACTAAGAATTAAACTCAAACTAATCTAAACTAA